ATATAGAGAAAATAAACTTCTAATGTAGATACACTATATGGAGGAAATAAATTTCTTCATAACATAAGAAAGATAAAACTTCTTGGACAATGCAGTAAATACAAATTGTAAATGTCATAGACAGACTTCTTCTACGGAATGTCAACCTTTGCTCCTAGTCCCCAAAGTTGTGAGGTCATTCGGAAAACTTTCACCAGCTGCTCGGGTTGTGACTGTCATACGCCATCATAACCACGTCTTCTAAGATATCCTGAAGCCCCTATTCTTTGAAATCTAGCTCATCTGCTTCGACTGTCTTTCTAAAGATCTTCTTAAGCGTCCGACACTTTTCTGTAGGATGTCCTAGTGATCGGGGGAAAACACAATAATTAAAGCCTTCACGGTCCTTCTTCGGTAAAAGCTCTTCCATATGAGGCAACTTCAATTCCCCGCCTGCCACCCATTATTTGACTAAGGCCTTCACCTCCTCCATACTACATGGAAAATGATTGTCATCTTCGTAGCTCTTCCTCTTCTACCCTTTGGGTCCTTCCCCCTGCGACTTTCGGGTAGAAGACACGGAAGCCGCAGTGATAGAAGGTCCTCGGGATGACTTGAAGCTGGTTTTATAGCTAGTCTCGAACCTGATCTCCTGAAACTGAGGTATGTTGATGCTTCGAGATGCTCCGAGATGCTTCAATTAGTGCTGAGAAGGTGGGTAGCTTGTGATTAACAAGAAGCATCTTGTACCCGTTCAATGCCCCTTCAACATAGATTTGGACCAAGTAGATTTCCTCTACAGCCTTATGGCAGTCCACAGCTTTGTCTTGGAACCTCTTCATATATTCGAGAATGTCTTCACCCTCCCGTTGCTTTTCCTTACACAGGGTAATTATGGTCACTTTCTCAGCCACTTGAAAGAATTTGGCGTGGATTTGTTAACCATCTCTTCCCAACTTCGGATAGAGTTTGGGGCCAAATTAACATACTAACTATATGCTCGGTTAGTGAGGGACTTAGAAAATTCTCTCAACTGAAGGACGTGGTTTGAACAATGAATACCCAGAGTCTCGATGAACCGTACAACATGTTCTCGAGCATTTCCTTGTTTGCCATCGAATTTGATGAACTACGGCACCGTGTACCCCTTCGGGTATGGATAACTCAACATCTTGATAGGGTATATAGTGGCTTGACATTCGTATCGGGCAAAGAGGGTAAAGTCCTCTTGTCCCGTTCGAGATCGAACACGGCATGCACATCGGCGAGAGTGAGAAATTATTCAGGGAGAGAGCTTGATGGTGGTATTCCCGGAACTTGGCTTGTAGACCCGAAGACCAAGCCTGGAGCGACTTGGCCAATTGGGTGTGGAGAATTCACCATCGGTGAAGACACATGATGATATTGGTCATTGGCACCTATGGACAAGCCATTTGATGATGGGACATTGAGTTGGGTCCCATAAAGTCTATTGCACGCCGCGGCTATACTAGCTTGGACTTGCAAACTCAACGTCGGAACCAAAGGAGACCCGCTCGGTACATGAGTAGAATTTACAATCAATGGAACAAAATTAGGCATAGATGGAGCACCATTTTGTGGAGAAATTTATGTGGGGCTTCCTTGAACTTCCACAGCCGCTAGAACACCATTCATCGCGCCGGAAACTCCTCCAACCACCGATGGACCATGGCTCGATCCTCTAGGTACGTGATTTTGCACACCATTTTGAGCAACTTTAGGGAGAATTGGGGGTGGATCTTAATGGTTTTGACCATTCCCAACATCACCATGAAGTTGTTGATGCTTGCAGGCGTTGACTTGACCTCCATTTGTTGCCAGTGGTGCAAAATTCGAACCCATCACCAACATGGTGTGGGTGAGATTTTGAAGGGTCATGAGAATCTCTTGTTCAGTGTGTTGGAGTCCTTGAATGGCTTCAAGAATGAGAGGTGGGTCTTGAACTTGAGTCCTCTCATCACCACCATTAGAAGAGCCTTGTTGATGAACTTCTTCTTCTTCCGTCATCTTCACGGAAGTGGTGTAGATTCCAAATCTTGTTGAGACCATTAACCAATCCGCCTCACCAGCAGAGTCGCCAAATGTATGAGAGGATTCAAGAACATTGTTGGAAAATTCAAAGATCTTCGAAGATCTTTGAAGAAAATTCGAATTCTCTAGAAATGATGAGAAGCTTAGATTCTTCAATAGTCACAACTAGGAACACAAACGCAAAGAGATGATGGAGATAAGAGATTGGGTGAAGAAGAAGACAAAGTAGTTAGATAGAAAATAATGGCAATGCCCTCCTATGGATCTCCCATGTATCTCCCACTTTCACTCTCAAGGTTGATGATGGAGAAGGGAAATTAGGGTTGCGTTTGGTAGAGCTTTTTAAATATGATTTGAGAGTATGAGTTGTATTTTGAGTTTATGAGTTTTGAAATTATGATTTGAGTGTGAAAAATTTGTTTGGTAAAAGAGTTTTGAAAAGAATTTTGAATTGAGTGAAAATTTTTTGATGTGATATATGATATTTGATATAAAAACTTACAACTCATAACTAAACATACAACTCAAAATTCTATTAAAGCACATAAAATTTTTAAAAAAATTCGAAAAATATTTTTTTCAAATATATAAAAATTAACATATGTCAATTGCAAAAAAAAAAAAAAAATTGCACTGTTCCGGTCAACCGACCGGACGACCGGTGGGACGACCGGTTAGGCCAAATTTAAAAAAAAAAAAAAATTTGAAAAACGCGCCCCACACAGAGTTTTCTGCAGAGTTGTGAAAATGTGATTTGAGAATTCGTTCCAAACATCATATTGGAATTTGGGTGTAGAATCATTGTTTGGAAACACAACCAAACATAGCCTAATTCTTTTTCAAGAGTTGTCCCTCCAAAATCCATCCCTTGTAAAGCTATGGGTGGGTGCTATTTATAGGCACCTCATGATGTAGGATGGAGCCTATGTGCAACGTACATGGAGAATATTCTCTCTAACCACATTGTCCGAGGAGGTGACCTCTCCGAGGATGAGGAAAACCCCGAGGAAGAGATCAACCTCTCGGCGAACCCTTCTTTTTAACCACACCTAATCAATGATTCCCAATCATCCCAAGGGGTTAGGAGTAGTCCTAGAGGATGCCCTGCCGTAGAAGGATCAGGAATAGTTCAAGAGAACGCCCTGCCACAAATATTGCTGAGTCTCAGGGACCCCCTAAATAGTGTCACCTCGACCCGAGTATAGGCTAGTTTAACCGAACAATGAATTTATCTTCACTCACCGTCCTCGGGACTGGGTCCTTTGTTCGGACTCTATCACGCCCATGGTTCTGGTGCGTAGATCCCGAAAAGATCCGAGTCCACAAGTGTTCTGTGACTCATTAATGGAGCAACTTCTAAATAGCGTCTGAATCCGTTCGAAACCAAGCGTTTTGGATCTCTAGATTCGTGGATTCAAACCCTTTTGAGTCTGGGCTCAAATAGGTCTCTAGGTTTGTGGTTCCAAACCCTTTCACGACTAAGCTAATACTTCGGAGAATGGATCTTCTCCGAGAGTTTCATCTTTTTTTAAAGCAACGGTTAACCTCCTCGGACCCCCGTATGATTTGAGCCTCTTTAGATGGGCTTGTTGGACTATCTTTAGAGATATCTGCTTGATGGGTCTTCCTTTGCCCAATTTGTTGGCTTTCTCGTGGCTTGTTTAATAGAATTTACTTGGGCCCATTTGGCAATAATTTCTCCGACCTCACCAAATTTTTGAGATTTTCGATTGGGCTTTGATTGGGCCCAATTAATTTAGTGGGCTCAAGTTAGTCCCTCTTACACAAGGCAACCCCGATAAGTTATAATGCAAACTAGGAACCAGGAAGCCACTATTTTAGGGTTTTTTTGGGGGAAACTGAATTGTAGGTTCAATGTGCACAAAATGCACACTTTTGAAACTAATGAATAACTTCAGCAATCAGTCAATTCATATCAACAGCTATATTATAGATAGTAGTGAAAGTATATTAAATATCTTCCCACTCAATAAGTATTCAGCACTCACAAAGCTGCCAGTCCATTGTTTGCACATTGCAAATGACTCCTGTAGCATTTCATGCTTTTTATTCACAATTACAAATTATAAAAATACTACAATTTGTTTTTGATAAGCCCCAATAGATTTAAAAATGCTAAGCAGGAATTCATTATCAATAACTCACAATAAGTCAACAACAAATTTCGGAAGAAAGGGGAAAAGGGTCGTCAGAAATCACTCGTGAAAGGATTGATTAGAGGCACATCCTCTTAAATCTTAATCTCTCCAAGAAATGGCATAAGCAGCAAAGACCAAATAATAATTTCCAAATCAAGACATGGATAACTGAGAAAATATTTTTTGGAAGACTAAATTGAAATCAGAATGATCTATGCTCTACCATTGTTTCAACAGTAAAAATTCTCCGGAAAATTTTTCCACCAAGGAAATGACATTTTTATACTGATAGACATTTTACAGAAAAGCCCGGGGCAAAATCATATTTCCGGCTCTCAATACATCTCTTCGCATCCATTTTTTTTTTTTTTTCTCAGCAAACAAACACAGAGTAAGCTCACTTTCCCAAAACAAAAAAAGAATCCACAGCTTGAAAACATCCAGAGACATCTCCTAAAAGACAATAATAGTAGCAATCTAATCAAACCACAAGAAGCTACACACACACACAAAAAAAAAAAAAAAAAATCCAGAGTTTGGAAAAGAGAGGTTTATAAGAGGCAAATAAAAGAGTAAACTCCATATAAACCCATATGAATGTATGATCTACATACACTTGAATCTTGTATTTGTCTCTTGTATTTGTCTGTGTGTATAAGTGTGTACAGATAAAAATTGCAAGATTCGTAGAAAATGATAGCCAATCTCCTCTCTCTCTCTCTCTCTCTCTCTCTCTCTCTCTCTCTCTCTATATATATATATAGCCATAGATACAGATAAAATAGAGATGGGGTGGGGGGGTGATTTAACCTTGATCCTGGTGGCCTCGGCAGCAAAACCTGTGACAGCACATAAGAGCCCTAGAAACCCCACAACTGAGCAAACCACTATTACCTTCCTCTCCATTCTTCTCCCTAATCTTTTCTCTCTCTATCTCTCTCCCCTAAAAACAACACTTTATCTCTCTCTCTCTCTCCTCTCTCTCTCTATCCGTACGGGACTCTTGTGCTGAAGAGAGTGCAGAGTCCAATAATTTATTACTGTGAAAGAGCTCGTGGAAGTGTATAGGCGAAGAAAACGTTAAAGCTTGTATATATGTATGAATATGGGTAGGCATGGTGAGTTGTCTTTCTATTCTCTTGGCAACAGCCACTCTTTTTGCATTACAAAAAAAAATAGGAAAATGTCTCGTAGTTCAAATTTTATGGCTCAAAAGTGGCTCAAATGGCCAAAACGAGCCATTTTGATGTTGTTCTGTACTCAAAACGACGTCGTTTTGGCCATTTGAGCCACTTTTGAGCCACAAAATTTGAGCTACGTAGCATTGTCGAAAAAAATATTAGAGATCTTACAAATTTTATTAAAAATTTTATCAAATATTTTATATGGTGTGAAATCTACATAAAATTCATATAATATGTGGTATAGATCTCACACTACGTGAGACATTTGATAAAAATTTTGATATAATTTTAAGGATCTTTAGCATTACTCTTTGCATTATACTGAAGTCTCGTTTGGTAATTTTAAAAAATTAAAAAATTATTATAAATTATCATATTATTTTTTATTTTTTTATATCTTTTTATAAAAAATTAATAAATTATTAAAATAACATATTTTCAAGTTGACTTTTAAAAATTATTACATGATTGAAAGATTTATAATTTTAAGGATAAATTATAAATACACCTCTTGAGATTTACTTAAAATACAGATTATCTCATATAGTTTGAAAAATTACAAATATCTTCTTATTAAAATTTTTTATTTAACATAGTTAACTAAAAAAATGAAATTCATAATTATTATCCTATACAATAATAAAACTACCTAAATTATTAATTGAAACATATTTTTAATATCATTAAAAACTGTTAATTGATTTAATGATTTATTAATAAAATGGATGATTTGTTATGAAATTAAAAATCTCAAGGGATGGAATATAATTTTAAAAATTATAGGAGCGATTCGTATTTTAATCAAATTTTAAAGATATATTTATAATTTATCCTAATTTTAATTATTAATATTTATTATTTATTAGTAATTATTATGTTTTTTTGACTTCCCTTTTTTTTTTTTTTTTTTTTTTTGTTTTCTTGACTTCCTTTGATATGTTTTTTCCGGGGAAAAAAACATTATTGTTAACAGGTGGAAAGTCATTCTTATGGCTGCTATGTTATTTTGGGCTTCCTTTGATATGTTTTTTCCGGGGAAAAAAACATTATTGTTAACAGGTGGAAAGTCATTCTTATGGCTGCTATGTTATTTTGGGCTACATTAATAAGATGGTTAAAAGTTATTTTTTAGTTTTTAATTTATTTTGAGTTATATTATTTTTTTACATTTTTTTAATGTTTTTTCAAAAAAAAAAAAAGTTTAAGCCTTCGTTTGAGAAGTGAGTTGACTTTTTGACTTTTTAATTTTTTTTTGACTATTTTAGCCTGAGACCAAAAAACCTAATTTGGGAAGGACTTTTGGCTTTTTTAGCTTTTCTGTGAGTGGAAAGTCATTCTTATGGCTGCTATGTTATTTTGGGCTACATTAATAAGATGGTTAAAAGTTATTTTTTAGTTTTTAATTTATTTTGAGTTATATTATTTTTTTACATTTTTTTAATGTTTTTTTTAAAAAAAAAAAAAGTTTAAGCCTTTGTTTGAGAAGTGAGTTGACTTTTTGACTTTTTAATTTTTTTTTGACTATTTTAGCCTGAGACCAAAAAATCTAATTTGGGAAGGACTTTTGGCTTTTTTGGCTTTTCTGTGAGAAAAAGAATATAATAATTATAGGTTTGATGTGATATTTTATTTTATTGAACTAAAAAGTCTATTTTTTTTTTTTGTGGCTAAAATAACCAAAAAGGCCCAAGTTTGAACTTTCCAAATGAAAGCTAAAAGTAAACTTTTAATCATTTTCTCCAAACAACCCTTTGTTTAAGGTTAATTTTTAATTTTTTTTAATTTTTTTTATAATAATACCCATTAACAACTTATCAGAAAGTCATAAAAAAAAATTATTAAAAAATTTCTTTTCAAGCACTTGTATCTTAATTAATCTAAAGAGAATATTGTATCTTAATAATTCTTATCATTTTGGACATTTGATTCATCAAATACTAATTCTTATATTGAAGGTATTTTACAAATAATTTTATCTTTACAAATATTTTTTGAACCCTTGGCAATTTGATGATGTGAATATTCACATTAAATAAATTTAACAATTTGAATATTTACATCATTCACACTGTCGATGTAAATATTAATGTGCATTTCACCTTATTATTATTAGGAGTATTTTGGTAATAATTTAGGGTTGGTTTGTGATGTTCTAAAAAAGTGTATTTTTTGACTTATTGGCTTATATGGGTTGGGTTTGATGTGATGTGTTAGAGATGTGATGTGATTTAAATAAGATGATGTGACTTAAATAGGATAGTGACTTTTTGACTTTTTATATTATTTAGTTTATGCCAAACCAACCCTTAAATTATGTGAAATATAAATAGATGAAAAGAGATTTATGAATAAATGTCCCTAAAAAAATCAGTTGATAAAGGTGTCGGAAAGTCACCAGCCAAGAATTGATGGCAATGATGTATATAGATATGTGACAATGAACAAATAGGTGAATAGATAAGTAATACATGTATATATAGATATACATTTGAACATATAGTTAGACAGATAAGTGACATATGTTCAAATAATTGAACATTTGAATAAATAGATAGCACGCGTATAGATATGTAATATTTGAACAGATAAGCAAATAGCTAAACCTTGAATAGATAGGTGTGGTTTCCGACAAATAACATCTTTTTATACCAAAAAAAGTTAAACTTGTACCTATTGGTCAACAGTTTCATAAATGGACATAGGACTTGAGGGCCCTTAAAAAATTCAGTGTATTTTTAAAAAAACAATTACATATACATCAAAAATCTTATGATTTTAATTATTAATATTTATAAAGTTTACAACTCATCTGTAATTATTTTTTTAGAAGTACACTAATATGTAATTTTTCCTAAAAAAAATCACATGTGCTAATCTCCTAGGTCTGAGAAAAATATAATTAGCTTCACAAATTTAACATAATTGTACTGACCTCACTTTTACTAATGTTACAACGATCAAAACTGATACAAATGGTAGATAGATACTCAAATAAATAAATTTGAAGGTAAATTACAAATTCATCTCCTGAGATTTGCTGAAAATACATTGTCCCTTAGAGTTCTGAAAATTATAAATACTCATTTGTCATAATTTTTTTAGTTAGCATAATTAATAGAAAAAATAAAATTCCTAAGTTTGTCTCCTATACAACAATAAAATTATTAGAATTGTTAATTGAAATGTATTTCTAATATCATTAAAATCTATTTGATTGACTTTATGATTTATTAATAAAAGGGGTAATTTATTATGTAATTAGAAATTTGAAGGGGTAAAATGTAATTTCTGAAACTACATTGAACAATTCATATTTTAAGTAAATCTTAGGAAGTGTATTTGTAATTTATTCTAAATTTAAATATACATTTTAATATAAAAAATATATGACATCATCATCTTATTATTCTTATAACTCACAAATTATTGATAAAAAAATACTAAAGTGTTATGTAAATTAAAATCTTAAATAAGACAAGTGTAATTATATTAAAAATGTGAAATTAATTGTATTTTGTTTAAATTTGAAGGTTGATAGTGTAATTTATTTAAAAAGGGAAAATCTTGGGCGACTGTGACAGAGTTTGGCCTATCATAATTTTAATGCAACACGTGGCAAGACTCGTAAAATTAATTTTTTTACTATTAAGAATTAATGCATTTTTATTTTTAATTACGATAAGATGTTTAATTCTTAATAAAATTATATAAAGAAAATTGGTGATAAATTTAATTTGAGGATTTCTTGAGGTGTTGGGTTCATTGGATAATTTTTTTGGGTGAGAAGTAGGGGGTGCTCGCAATTCGATTGTAGCTGGAAAATCTCTAATCTGCATCTGTCCGCTGAATAGGCGGATTGGAAAAAATCAATCTGTATCTATCTGTCAAAATGACGGATACGGATTGAGCGGATTGGCAGATGGATACGAATTGGTTTGGCGGTTTAAATTTTTATAAATTTTGAACATAATACAACAACTTGTCAACATTTTTTTTGGATAACAATCCAACTTAACACAACCAAAAGATTATTAAGTAAATTGTCAAACACCAATAATAAATACATAACAGAAAACCATGCATTATCAAAACTATTTCATTATTTTTTTTATTCAAAAACTATTAATTTGATTTTTTTTTTAAATGACAAAATTAAGCCTTATATTTTTCACACAAAAATACCAAATATCTGAGAGGGTAATTTTTGGTAAAAATTGGGCCAAGCTATGTGATAGGCTTCGTGGCCCAATGTGCCAAGGACTTGGTGAAAAGGCCGCAAGGTTACTCCGGCCCAGGAGAGGTATGGTTACTCCGGCCCAGGAGAGACAGGGTTACTCCGGCCGAGGAGAGGCAAAGCTACTCCGGCATAAGAGGGACAAAGTTACTTCGGCACAGTGACTGTAGAGGTACTTCGGTCCGAAAGCAACTTGGAGTTGTGCCGGTCTTGGGGTTATACCGGTCGAAAGTCGCTGGTTCGGTCTAAAACCGTACTATGGGTTCTATATGGAAAGCCGAGATAAGAAAGGGAAGACAAAAGAACCGAACTATGAGTGAGTTCGGTCCACTCGGTGGCTTAAGTATAGCCAAGATTTATTTCGGTCAAATGGTGGTTCGGCCATGGAGGAAACCATCCCACTTGGTTTAAGCAGTGAGAGAGGGTGTAAAAGGATAAGCATTATCCTTAGGAGTATGAATCTTGGGAGGACACTGCATGGAGAAATACAAGTCCTACTAGGATTGTGCCACGGGAAACTTATAAAAGCCCACAAACATCACCTTGGGGGAGGTAACACACAATTTTGCTTTCTGAGAACATTGAAGCTTTGTCTATTTGTCAAGTTTTCTGACTTAGGCATCGGAGAGGTTTCCGGCACACACCCGCCGGCTA